TGGTAGCATGGTGGGTAATGTATTTGGTTACTAACAAAAAAAAAAAGGCTGATAGTTTGAATCCATTGGTGAATTCAAAGGTGAAAGATGGGTAGTCTCTTTTCATAAAAGATTTACTGTCTCAAAATCCCAGTAGAGGGTTTCTTTGGATCAGAACCAGCTTGACTGCTGTGGGTTCTCTCTCTCTTAAAACCGAGAAAAGACAATTCTTCTTGATTCCTGATTACAGATATTTTTTTCCTTTTGGCTGAGTCAAGGAAATTGGACTTAAAGTAGCTTTCTTATTGCTTATTTTGAAGGGAACTTGGTTCTACCCGAAGAGGTCAACTCTTTTTTATCTCTCTGAGGAATTATCTTTATGGCACCAGCGGAAGGAATTGGAACTTGTCAGACTTTATTTGAAGGGGGAGCCCATTAAAGTAAAAAAAAAAAAACAAAGATTCAAAACTAAACCAAAAAAAAAAAAAGGGAATGATTTTGAGCAAAAGCCCTTTCACTGCTTCAATAGAATAATTCCACAATCTGGTTAAGTACAATTCAAGGGCAACCTAATTTGCAGAAAACATTTCCCGAACGTGGAGCATGGTTGTGGAGGGTGGACTGCTAAAGGGATCTGGAGATTGTAACAGCGCTTGGTTTCCAAAAGGGAGAAGCATAAATGAGGGGGTACCTTTTGAGCATCTGGTACCTCGGCGATGATTCTGAAGACATGTGGTCGGTCCACAGGGCACAGAGGGAGGGAGCTTAAGTGGAGACCCTGCCCTGGCTGTTGCCCTTACTGCCGGCAGTGCTGCTGGGCTCCGCGGTGCCTCAGTTACCGCCGTGAGAGTAGGAGCAGAGCCTTAGGAATCAGGCAGACCTGGGTTCAAATCCTCTCCCTCAGCACCGGGAACAGAACCCCTGGTTGTGCAGTGGTTAAGGACTTGGTTGTTAAACCATAAAAACCAGGTCGGAGCCCATCGGCTGCTCACAGGAGAAGGATGTGGTGAGCTGTTTCCATGTAGATTACAGCTTAGAAGGCCTGTGGGAAACTCTGTTGTCTTGTAGGGTTGTGTGGTTGTGGTGGTTGTTGCTTTTCCAAGGTCGATGATGGCGGTGAAAACACTTGAGTGTTAACCAAAAGTGAGTGGTTTGTGGCCATGAATCTACTTCCATAAAAATGGCAGCTGTGGGAACTCTGAGCAGTTTCATGTGCTCTGCAGGGTCACTCTGAGTCATACCCAGCTCAATCTTCCCCCCAGCACCTGGGTGCTACAGTGATTGAAGCATTTGGCTACTAACTGAAAGGTTATTAGTTCTAAACCCACCAGCCTTTCTGTGGCAGAAAGATAGGGTAATCTGCTTCTGTATAGATTGCAGCCTTGGAAGTCTGTGAGGCCGTTCTCTGTCCATGGGGTTGCTGAGTCAGACTCTATTCAATGGCGGTGGCTTTGGGTTTTTTATTTATGGACTAACAAGTCTGGGCCTAAGTTCCTACCAGAGGTCTAAGATAGAGATGCGGATTTGGAGTTGTTGTCCTGAAAAATAAACCTTGTTTCAGGTTCAAAGGATGGTGAAGGGCCATAGTCACAGGAGTCTCACCAGTCTCTATCAGACATGTAAACCTGCCTTTATTTTATTTTTCAGTTCTAGTCCACTTTCCCCCTCACGCTACCTGGAATTTTCTTCTGTGATCCCTTTTAAAGTAGCAGCAATAGTAACCAGCCTCTTAAATGGTTTTTATGGAGGGGGGGAAGGTAGAATTTAAATTTATCATTCTTATTAGGGATATATGTTTTTGTCTGTATGTTACAGAATTTTTTGAGACACACATTGATGCTCATTGATTGAAAATGAGAATTGCTCTTTATCTTGAAGTCTTTGGAGCTGTTTTGTTGGTTTTTGTTTAAAGATACACTAAGTTTTGTTCATGTGATGGCACTCAATGTGGAGCTGTTCTGGTGAAATTCTTTGCACACTCACCTGTCTTCTGCTTCCTTATTTTTCCTTACAATATCACTTTTGTGTGTCCCAGAAGGTTCAGGGTCTATAAAAAGCTGATGGGACATGTTGCATCCACTCAGTGTGATGAGAGCCACAACTGGATTAAAACAAAGATGTTTTATACCCCACGTGTGTTTATCCTATAAGGATGTGACCATTCGTTCAGTCAGTTGTACCATTTTAAGGCCAAGATCTTACCCTTCCTCCCCTTTTTCCTCCTCCTGGTAGAGTTCTGCCTCATCATATGATCTGTGTGGTCCCAGACATAACTAAAGCATGCAGGGATACTCTCCCTTCCACCATCTGGGTGGGTATCAGCTTCATTTAAGGAACAAGCAGACAGTGGCTAGAGAGATTGCATAATGTGTCCATCTAACACCTAAGTTTGTGTTCCCCATCCATGATTCCCCCAGAATTATCCAGGAAGAATTATCCCCCAGATTATCCAGGAAGTTTTAGAACAATATGGATTCCTAGGTCCTAGGTGGTCAGTGCAGCCAGCTCTGGGGCCAGTGATATTTGAAAAGCATGACCCTCTCCACAATGGGTCTCCAACATGTCAGTGGGAACTAGCAGTAACATGGATCCCCTGAATACCTAGATCAAGGATTATGGCAATTTCTCCCCCCTACCCCCCCAAAGGACTACACAGTAAATATTTAAGGTTTTGCAGATTATATTATCTCTGCCACAGTGATTCAACTTCTCTGTTTGAGTTGAAAAGCAACTTAGCATGAAAGCATCACCTCATGATCACAGAGTGGCTGCTGGAGCTCCAGTCATCACATCTGTGTTTGAGAAAGAAAGAAAAAGGAAGGGAGAAGAGCAAAAAGGCACTTAATGGCTATATCAGATCTCTCTAATTCTCTGTTAAAAGCCTCAAACAGTGATTGTGGCTTATATCTCATCAATAATTCTCTGCAAGGGATACCTAAAGCTATAAGATTTATTTGATTTTATGAGTGAGAACAATATCCCTAGGGATATTGGTGGGACGTGGATCCTGCTTAGGCAGGTAGCATGTGCTGTCACTGTCATTGCTGTTAGGTGCCTTCAAGTCAAGTACAAGTCATAGTAACCCTATGAACGACAAATCTAAACAACAGACCGGTTCTGTTCTGCGCCATCCTCATCATCTCTGACACACTTGAGCCCATTTCTGTAGCCACTGTCAGTCCGTCTTGTTGAGGGTCTTCCTCTCCTTTGCTGACCTTCCACCTTTTATACATGATGTCCTTCTCCTCTCCTAACCACATGCTCAAGGTGTGTGAGACAAAGCTATGTTATCCTTGTCTCCAAGGAATACTCTGACTACACTTTTTAAAGACATACTGTTTGTTCTTTTGGCAGTCCATGGGACATTTAGTACTCTTCTCCAACACCATTGCTCAAGGGCATCAATTCTTCTTCTGTCATCTTTACTCATTGTTAAGCTTTCCATATATACAGCAAGTGACAGAAAAGACCATGGACTGAATCAGGTGCACCTTAGTTTTCAGATTTATATTCTTGCTCTTCAGTAATTTGTAGAGGTTCCTGACAGCATCTTTGCCCAGTATCCTGACTGCTGGTACCAAAGGTATTGATTGTGGCTTCAAGAAAAAGAAAATAGTTGACAATTTCAATCTTTTCTCCATCTATTATGATGCTACCAATTGGTCCAGAGGTGAGTGGTGCTGTCACTGCGAGATAATCAAAGAGTGTCCTAATATACTACACTCAAGCTCCTTATTCTCTCCCATTTTGTGCTACTGAGTCTTCATAACTGAGAGATTGTAGAGACCAGGAAAGCCCACAGTCCCAGTTCTCCATTACCAACCAGATGCCTTGCCTTGTTCTAGATAGCTTGGTAATTTAGCTATCTTCAGATGCCTTCAATCTGGAGACACCAGATACCTTTTCATGAGATCTGAGTCACACAAGCTTTTTCCATGGCTGTCCTACAATTCCGTTTTCTTAACTATACAAAAACTCTTAAGTCTTTGTTGCAAAGACCACCAATGTGTCATAAATTCCCTCATCTTACCTTTACTGTGGAAGCTGACATTGCTCTTTTCAAACTTCTCCACATTGGGTTAGACTCATCCCTCAGGCCAATGGATTTCATGTGATATCTGCTATCCAGTGTATTTCCTGTCCTTCTCAGCCTAGGTGCTTCTAAAAACTTGATTGGTCTTCTGTTTTTTCCATCTAATTATCTGTTAGCCAAAATTCTTTGGCAAAAATCTTCATTACTTTATCCTGTTCACAAGAATATTGTGAGATGCCCTGGAAATCACCTTATTACTTGAGTTCTAATACACAGTGCCTGTGTTTGGGTGTTGGGTGGTTTTCATGGGTGAGCATGATTGCTAACAATGTATTATTGGTTTAATATATTTATGTGAAAAATTACTAAAATGCATCTCTGAGGTTAGTTTACCTTTAATCTCTACTGAAAGCAGGAAAAGGAATATATAGCATCTTGGCCGACTGTTGGTGTCATTCTTTCACATGTCTGTCTACTGAAAGCAGGAAAAGGAATATATAGCATCTTGGCCAACTGTTGGTGTCATTCTTTCACATGTCTGTCTGTCCAGTCAGTAGCCACAGCTCTTCGTGTTGGGTACAGACCATGCCAAGCTCCTTGCTTTCATGGAGCAGATTTGCATTGGTGGAGTGTTGCCAACATCTTGCCCCTTTGTAACGGCTTGGTTTTCTTTTTTCTTAAACATTACCTTAATAATATTTCATTGTGCTTTTGGAGAAAGTTTACATAGCAGTTTCATTTCCCCATCCAGCAGTTTCTACATGACTTGTCCAATGACATTGGCTTCATTCCTTACAATGTGTGAATATTCTCCTGCTCTGTCTCCATTAATCTAGTTTCCCTGCTCCTTACCTTCTTATCTTTATTTTAAAGTAGTTGTTGACTGTTTGGTCTCACACAGTCGACTTCATGAAGGCACACAGTAATTATACCGTGTGATGAGTGTTTTAAGAGAAGTTTATGCTCTCTCTCTTTGCTTTCTGGACAGGTCTACATCCGGATAAAGGATGACGAATGGAATGTCTATCGGCGCTATACGGAATTCAGAAGTTTGCACCACAAGCTACAGAACAAGTATCCTCAAGTGAGGGCCTACAACTTCCCACCCAAGAAGGCCATTGGAAACAAGGTACTATGCCCAGAAAGGCGCAGATGCCTTCTTGTTTGTGCTGATAATCGGGACACACTGTTTATTCCTTTTCAGTTTATTACTCCAGCAAAATGCTGAAAGTTGTGGGTAGTCTAAGAGAAAAGGGAACTCTGATGGTCTAGTGGTAAGAGGCTGCAATCCCAAAGGACACAGTTCAGATCCACCAGCTGCTCTGTAGAAGAAGGTTAGACAGTCTTTTCCCATGCAGTTTACTGCCTCTGAAAGCCCACTGGAGGGTCAACTTTGGGTCAATTCTGACTTGGTGGCACACAAAAACAACAAGAAGAAAAAAGTAGAAAAAAAGAAAATAGTTACTCGTAGTTCTACCACCCAAAGACATTTGCATTATGGTTTGCTTGTGATTCTCCGGGGCAAAGGTTGGCAGATGTTTTCTATGAAGGACCAATGAGTGTGTGTTTTGGGCTCGGCAGGCCATCCCCATTCTGCTGGGACTCCTCATTTATGATGATGATGATGATGATGATGTACTGTCAAATTGGATCTGACTGGTACCGGAGGAGATTGTCCCTCCTTCTCCAGCAGAACATCTGGTGGATTTGAACTGCGCACCTCTGGGATTGCAGTGCAGCTTCTTGCCACTAGGCCACCAGAGCTCCCTTGGACTCCTCATTTCTGTGGTGAGATGAGCCTGTGCCTAGGGACACCTCACTCACAGGATCGGGACAGCTGCATTTGATCTGTAGGATGTAGTTAGGAAAACTCACTCTGGATGTACTGTTTGGCTTTTATCCCCTTTACTTTTCATCTATAGCCATCTTGGTTTTGTATAGGCTGGGAATATTAGGTTATTTCCCAAGTTAGAGTATTTTGCAGAATTCCTTGTATCTGATTAGAGAGGTACTTCCCTTGTGAACCGTAATCATTCAAAACGTTGTGGTTTGTTTCTATGCTTAGGTGCTGCTGCTATAGCAGAAATACTACATGTGTGTGGCTTTAACAAACAAGACCTTTCTGCTTATTTGTCACAGTTTCAGAGGCTTGAAGTCTGACTTCAGGATGCCTGATCTAGGGGAATGCTCTCCGTTATTTAGGAAGGTCCTCGTCTCTTCTGTGCCATGTTTATGGATTGATACCTCTTTTCTTCCCTCTCTACTATTTGCTTGTTTCATCTCTTTTATATTTCAAAGGGGCACTCTGGTGGCCTTGTCTGTAGGGAGTTGCACTGCTGAACCCAAGGCCACACCTCTCTGGTTGTTAGAACCCAACATTGTCTCTGAGGGAGAAAAACGAGCAGTCTCTCAGGCGATTCAGAGCCGCTGAAACTCAACGAAGGATCAGCTATGAGTCAGTTCTAACTTGAGGGCAAGGAATTTGAGTTTTGATATCTCAAAATATGTGGCAAGGATTTCAAAGCTCCATCTCTTGTACTTTGGGTGTGTTGCCAAGAGAGACCAGTCCTGGAGAAGGACATCGTGCTTGGAAGGGTAGGGAGTCAGCAAAGGAGAGGAAGACCGTAGACAAGATGGATTAACACCGTGACTGTGGCAATGGGGCACGTGTGTCAGAGACAGTGAGGTTGGTTTACAGGGCAAGATTCAGAGCCATTGTTCATAGGGTCTTATGAGTCATGACTCAAAGGCACGTAACAGTAACAGTCTTGTCCATTAAAATAACAGACTACCCATTCCCAAATGGGACTAAAACCACTTCCATAGAGGTCAAACTCAGCTCATATTTGGGGAGGATATAATTCAAGCTATATGTCCACTCAGGAACCCTGGCACAAGAAGGTATCACCCTTGCTCCTTGGTTAGTGTCCCCCCTCATGCCCCAGGCACTCTGAGGTTGTCGTCTGGCAGGGTACTGAAGGAGATAGGCCTTAGTCTGGGTCCAGTGAGGGTCTTGGGGCATTGCCAGCTTTCACTTGTTGGTATTTGCTTACAGCAACAGTCGTCCCTCTGTGCTGCATATGACATCCTGTGGATATTGAGAATTCTTGGCTCTAGGCCCTGAACCCCAAAGGACTTAGCTCATTGGTCCAGACTGAGGCCTGAGCATTGCCTTTACAAGCTCCCTGGGTGATGCTAATATGCAGCCAGGGTGGAGAAGCACTGGCTTAAAGTCAGCTAGAAAGCACAAGACTTTGACAATTTCAGTACATGAAATAGAGACAGTTCAGTCAGGTGAGGTCAAGTCGTGGCATTTCTCAGGACAAGTGGATAGTTGGAGGTTGTATTAAAAGGGATCCCTCTACTGTGGGTGCGTCTCACAGTGAAGGCTGAGAACCAGCAGCATCAGTATCATCTCCTAGCATGTTAGAAACACATGTTCTTAAAAAAAGATTTTAAAGGCAAACCTATCGAGCAATTCTGCTCTGCATTGGTGGGATTAGGAGTCAGAATCGACTTGTTGCCACCTAATACCACCCCCACAGAGAGACACACACAGATATATAGATATAGATATATAAAAGATACAACTATAGTATGCTGTCAATGATTAAAAATTAAGATGAAATTTCCCTACTGAAAAATAACAAGTTTTAAAGCTGAGCTTATTAATGTGCCTGAAGCATGGTAATAATTAGAAAACTTCAAATGCGAATAAAACCTCCGCGGTCATGTTGGTTCTAACCCATAGTGACTCCTTGAGGCTTCCGAGGCCGTAAATCTTTACAGGAGGAGACTGCCGTCTTTCCCCTCAGAGCACCGAGGGAATTTGAACTCCTGGCTTCAGGGTTAGCAGTGTGACATGTTACACATCACTTCCTTTTAGCTATATTCTTTTGTTCCTTTTAAAATTTTTGCAATCAGTGTATGCTATTCACCAAATCTGTAATGTTTAGTTGGATGCTCCCCACCACTTATAAAAAGAAGAAACACAGAAGGAAAGAAATGTGCATTCTTGAATCCCACTAATAAGCCAGGGCAGAGCCCAGCAGTCTCGGTTTACCAGAGTCCCCGGATAGAGGGTGGGGTGGTCACCACAAACAGCTTTCCTTGAGCTGAATTTCCAGGTTTCTTCCCTGCAGAAGCACTTCCGTCAAAAGCCCTTTATCTTTATTTTCCAAAACCAGAGAGAGTTCCCATCAGTCTACACCCCACCCCTCCACCATCAGGGACTTGCACGGTGGGAATTACTACTGCTGACAGTTAATGTTGACCCTTAGTTACATCTACTTGTTCATAGTTCTCTTGTGTTGAAACCAGATTAGAAATCTTCTCACATCAAGTTCTGCGGGGCTTTAATTTAAGCCATTACAAAGCAGGTTTGTCATAGGCTTAGAATAGATCTGTCATTCACTTTTGTGTTAAAGAAAGATGGATTTTATCCCATCGTTAAGCATGGTAGACTTTGTAAAATGCAGCATTTATATACATTGACAAGTAAAAGAATGCCGTAAAATTATTTTAACTTAATTACTTTATCCTAATAACTTCTAGGCTTCTTAAAAATCTGGGTATCTAACCAGAATGACTTAAAATATCACTTATAAAAATCTGCTTAAACAACATACAGATAATCCCAGATTTATAGACTACTTTTTTAATAGGTTTCATTATTACTGCCATTATCATTAATAAATCATTATCTTTATAAATCATAGCATTGGACATCTATCTGCCAGTTAACATCAGCAAATTATGTATTGCAGTATTATACCTACTATTAACGATAAGATGTAGGAAAGTGATCACTAGTGTAATTCATTGTAGATTATGTCATGAGCTCGGGACCTCCCATCGAGATATGTGATTGGAGAAAATGTTGTTCTGAAGTGGCCTTCCCTTCACACTCCTTTCCTCTTGACCTTGACCTGTCACCAGTTTGCTGAGGGGAGCTGATACAACACAAGGCTAAGCTGGGGGTTTTCAGATCGTGAAATGACTCCCATTGTGTATTAGTTTCCTGCTACTGCTATAACAAATGACAATGAATTTAGTGACTTAAAATACCATAAATTTATTCTCGTACAGTTTTGAAGGTGGGGAGTTCAAAGTGAGGACAAGGATTCCCTCAGGAAGCTTTAGAAGAGAAGGCATTTCCTTGTCTTTGCGGCTTCTGGAGGCTTCATACATTCTCACGGCTGTCTTTTATCTTCAAAGCCAATGATCATTTCATTCCAGCTTCCATTGTCCCATCTCCTCTGACTCTCTTACTCTCTTTCTTCTCTCTTACAAGGACCTTGTGATTATATAGAGTCCATTTGGGGAATCCACAATCATTTCTCCATCTCAAGATCCTGAATTTAATCGTGTCTTTGGCTGTGCACAGTGAAGTACTCACAGGTTCTTGGACTTAGGTCATGATTTCTTTGACGAACCATTCTTTAACCTTCTATGCCTACCTGCAAATGAACACACTGAGAATTAACAGATGTCATCTTGGCGAGCTGGCCTAGTGATGGTCTGTAACCGGAAGCACCATCCTGCTCTGTACAGTCTCCCCCTGTGACTGTGGAACCTGGCAGCTCACATCTGCTCCTGCTAGCCTGTCTGCTCTTTAACTTTTAAAGGCCTGGCAGGGCAGTGAGAGTTCTGAGATTTCCTCCTTCCCCTCACTTTCGGCTGACTAAGATATATCTACTTCCCTTACACTTTGACAGCTGCCCAGGACAGATCTGAGGGAACTTTCTGACTTTCAAGGGCAAATGGAGTCAGAAGCCAAGACCCTCCACGCTCGGTAGAGGCTAATGATGACCGCCAGTCAGAGATGAGCCTGTATTGGGCCTTATAGTACAGGATACCTGCTTGCTACCTTGAGGGCAAAATTCCTAGCCAGCTTTGATTGTAAATCCACCCAGAAAAATCAACCACCTCAGAATGTTTTCTTCAGTCGGGTCACTTGACAAGTGACATGGACCATTAGGACCATTCGGAGTGCAATCAAAAGAACATATCTTTAGGGTGATTATATAATTTATGCCTTATTACACGAAGCCAGGATCATTCAGTGATTTACCTTAGAATCCCCAGATCTGGCCACTGTTCAAAATATAGTCAATTGATAAAATCTTT